ATCCTAATGATTACAAACAAAAATTTAATGAGATTGATCATTAATTTGATATATACCATCAAAATAAAGGCTAATAATAAATAATAAATTTGCTCCTTTTCTTTCATATTCCACATTCTTCCTCAGGGATTACGATGTTTAAAAATGCAAGAAATTTATTCACAACGATACTCTATCACGCAAATCATGAAGTAATCTTCGCAATATGCACTAGTGTAATGTTTATGGCCACTTCCTTTAAAACACGCAGCATTTTGGAACTATTGAACAACAAAGAAGTTTAGAAACAGACTTCTTTGGTCAGCACTAGGGTATGACGCACTTGTTTCAAACCCTTACATATCTTATTTCATTTGTAGTTTCTCACGTTTTAAACCTTCCTGCGCCTAAATATTCCTCATTCCCTTCCTTTCGTTTTTATTTTCCTCCTTTATTAAGCTTGTATGAGTACAATTTCTCCGTACGTTGTATCAACTAGTCTTTCTCTTTACTTATTGTTCTTTTCTCTCATGCGTGTTATTTTAAGTTTCTACAAAGCGTTGTAAGGCCGCTTCACTTGAATAAATTCTTCGGAAATCATATTTCAAATCTAAACTTCAGTTAAAAATTTGTTGAATTCAAATGCAGTACAATCGACGATGAATTGCAACCCGTTCTAAAATATTTCATGCCAGTGTTCTTCATTTTCATTAAACACACTTCTTGTTTCATGAATTGAATTCAAGGGCTTGATACAATTAAGAGATAAGTTTTAAAGCCACAGCTAGCCTCCTATTCGTCAATATTAATATCTCGATTTTGGTGAAAGATGTCATGTCTTGTTAGTATGTATTATGTCTTGTTCAGAGTTATGAAGGGCTTTCGCAGTAACAAGATGATACACATTTTGACCAAAATCGAGATATTAACATTTACGAAGAGGAGGAGTGTCGTTGTAACTTAATTGGTAACTACCAAAGCCCTTCAGATTATGAATGAACACGGAATTAATCGTTTCACACGAAGACACATATTTCTTACATGAATGAGCACGATTACATGAATCAATTGTTTCACGCACAGACACAAATTTAATTTATTTACGAAACCCACGAGTTTCTGTCCATCTCCTCTCCACATAGCTCCTTAAATAGTTTACAGCGCGCAACTGGCGTCCGAAGGATCTCTGGGGAAGGACACACATCTTCCGCCACGTCGAACACATCCACAGGCGGCCTAGGAAGCGCAGGGATTTCGCAGAAGGCTGCGGAGGAATTCTGTTCCGCAGTAAACACGGCGCAGCCATTGTTCTCAGCTGATGATGCGGCGGCGGAGGTGGCCTTGGGACGGCTCGCCAGCCCCCCCCCCCTTCCCCGGCAGGGACCAACAGACTGGCGCCGCGCGCGCAGCCCCCCCCCCCATCGCGCAAGAATATTTTGAAATAGGGTGCGGTCATTTATTAGGTCTTGATGTACTTTAACGCTTAACTACAGGCGTGAGATTTATAAGCAGAACTCGGATTTTGGTGACCTAAAAGTTCTTTAAAAATGACCTAAAAATGAATTAGAAATAAGGAGGAAATAACGTTTTTTTTAATATGCAAAAATTTGCATAAAGAGTTTATTTATGCAACGATTGTAAATAAAATTGCATTCATATAAAGTTATATTTGATATAAAATCTTTATTTTAGGAGGAAATGTAATCTTTAGCTCCGATCTTCAAAACGTGTGGTTTGAAAAGTGGAAAAAGTTACCGAAGATCGGTGTAAGTTTGTGTTTGAAAAACAGCAGTGCACTGCAGTAGTGAATTTCGTCTTGAAATGATGATCCAAGAAAAACTTTGTTGCAGTTTGTCAATGTAAATTCACGAAACATTCACTAGCAAAAACTCGAATAAAATGCGTAAAAATAGCGAAAGTTACGCAATGGTCCAGAAAAAGACCTAAAAATAGAAAAATGACAAAAAGTGGCAAATACTGACCCAATAACATTTCTATCACCTACATGTGATGATAAACATTCATTTACAAGTTAGCAACGTAGAATGCCCCAATGAAAAGGATGACGTCATCAGAATCTGAGCCCTGTTTATGACACACTTGTATCGGGCACATGCTGATTCGAGAGAAGTGTGTCCTTTCTATGGTTGGGGAGCATACGTGTTTAATAGTAAATAGAATGTAGAAATACATGTAAAAATAAAAAAAAATCGTCACGTTTACAAAATAAAAGAACACTATGAATTAGATCGCTGGTGAGGTAGATAGACCTTTTAATAACTAAGGTTGATAAGGTAGCACGATACTTGAAGCTAATTATGAAATGAAACATTCATTAAAATGAAACTAATTTTATCGGTATATTTCCGTGTCCAACAATCGTAACTCTTCCTGTCCAACGAAAGTGTACGTGGGCAAACGTGCTAAGCAAAGGACAAAAAAGGAAGAAAAAAAATCATGAAAGTACCCGGCGAAAGCGCAACGCTAAGCCGGTAAGCAACAGAATGACAAATATCGCCGCTCACACATCTTCAATTGGGGGGGGGGGGACGCCTCTGCGCGCGGTCGCAAGCGATCGCCGACTTACCCCCCCTCCCTCTCCCCGCGCGTACGGCCCCACCCTCCAGGGCTCTCCGCTAGCAGCGCGCGGCCGCGGCTTCCAGACCCGACGGGGCCGAATGCAACGCGCGCTGTTCGTCAGGCGCGCATCCACGGGGAGGGAGTTGAAGAAAATGACCCCCCACCCCCTAAATTCTTTCAGTAACTATAAATTTTAAATTGTCACGAAACTTTGAAGCAAATATATTTTCGGATAACCATTAAAGCGAATAAAATCTTATCGCAGCAAGAGCTGATTGTAGCCTACAACATTTTACAAAACGACAAAATCTGTAATTCGACGAAAACATTTTTAATTTGCCCTCCCAAAATTTTTCTCTGGATTCACCGCTGATGTCGAAGTCAGCCACCCGCAGAAGAGGCTGAGGCGATCAGCTGACGGCGCTGCAGTGCCTCTCACCGGGAGATCCTAGGGTTCCACAGCCGACGGTGGCAGCATTTTCGACGAATTCAATCGGGGAATTGTCGTTCGTAAATCGAACAATAAATTACTGGAACAATTTACCTCCTGAAGCAGTTGGGACTGGTCTTGAAAGTGTAGATACATTTAGAACACAAAAATGTAAAAATATGTAATGTTAAACTCGGCTCATGCTACGATACAATTTTATTTGTTTTAAAGATAATATGAAAATATGTTTGCTTGAAAGATTCGTGTGAAATTACAAATCTCTACTTTTGTTGTTGTTGTTGTTGTTGTTGAGGGAGGGGAGATTTCGCTCATTTCCTTCCTCGAGAATCCGCGCCTGCTTAATGTAACAATATTAGTTTTTTGCCATTGTAACCATCCTTAGAAAACTGCCACCGGGTGTTAAACCCTTACGTAGATCAAATGTATCCAACTGCCATCTATCTTTTTCTCTATTGACCTATCTATGGAACTATATTTGTATTTATCTATTTACCTATCTGTCTATCAACATCTATCTATCCATCTCTCTCTCTCTCTCTCTCTCTCTCTCTCTCTCTCTCTCTCTCTCTCTCTCTCTCTGTCCATCTGTATCTATCAGCATATCTATTGTCTCTATCCATTACCTATCTATCTCGTGTCTACATGTGTTCCTCGTGGGCGCCTGGGCGCTGGGCCCCCGAGGGCCGCGGCGCCGCTCCATAAATCTCAATTGCCGCCGCCGCCGCTGCTGCGGGCGACGCAGCGTCCGCCGGCGGCGCAGGCGAAGGCGAAAGCGCAGACGGAGGCGCGCTCGCGCTCGCGGGTCTGCCCCCGGCGGGTCAATTGGAGTCACGTGACCGCAATCCGGGCCCGGCGGCGACGCAGCCGCGTGTTTTTGTCCGGTGGCCCGCGCCGCCACAAGGCGCTCCGGGATCACTTCGGGCCTCACGCCCGCCGACGGGAGAGTGACTACAAGCTAATGAAATGTCTTTTTTTCTCTTCCCTTTATAACAATGCCTTTCAGTTTACGCAATAATTTTATGTTTTGACAAAGGCAAATGACCCATTTTTATATGGCTTTTTTTCATGTTTTGTCGATTTCGACCAAGAAGTTAGTTTTACTTTCTCGCACTTACTAACGTAAGAGAAGATATTATTGTAATCGTGCGCAGGAAAAAGCCGAATTTTCGACACAAAAACTCTTATTGCCGGGTCCTGGTAAGATAAAAGTGGATAAATCCAGTTGCTCAATTCAAGGTAAAAAAATCCTACAACATGAGGTATCCAAATCTGTGTTTGGATACGTGTGGGTCCTTCATACCGAAAAATCGACTGACAGCAGTCTATCGACTGTGTGTCAGTCCGTCCGTCCGTCCGTCTGTGCACAACGCTAGCGCATAAACTGTTCAGCCGATTTTCTCCAAACTTGATATTCCCCGATCGTTCTAGCTGATGTCGCGGACCCTGGAATTTGAGAAAGATATTTTGTATATACGATACGGTATATTGTACTTTACATGAAGTCCCCATGACATTTTTAAAAATTTCAAAACATGCAGTAGAATTTTTTGAGTAAATTTTGTTGCGGAATAGTGCAAAAGAAGTTTAAGAGAATAGTGCAAGTCTCATTTTCGTTGACACACCCTATTTTTCAAAAATTGGAAAAAAAAAATTGGAAATGCTTTTTTTGTTTCAGACTAAGTCTGTTGTGCAAAATTAGCTCTAGATTTCTTCGCCCAGAAATTGTAATGTCAGCTGCTGTGTGTACGTAATATTAGGTTCCTGTGACATCTATCAGCGCCGTCATTTCGGCCGATTTCGGGATTATTTCCTCGTAAAGAACGGTCCAAACCAAAATTTGCAAGCAGAGGTCACCATACCGAAAGGAAGAAACCTCGATTACATCAGTGACATTTGCTCGTTGCAATCTGAGGACGTCGGGGAGCTGCTCGTGTTGAGTGTTGAGTGTATCTATACGCTCTGAGTTTCATTGCGTCAATCGACAGTAGTGTTAGAAATGGCCCTCGGACGTTCTGGCAAGTGAACCTGACTCACTCCAAACAATCCGAGGAAGTCCCACAGTTGCATGTGATGTGTGACCAATCACTACTTTCCAAATTGGCACGTCTTTCACCTTACATTCAAAACCTGAACATTCAACACCTTACAAACAAACAAAAAAGTATTAAACTTGAAAATTCTCAAAATATTAATTTTTTCATATAAAAGTGACACAAATATGTAATATTTGTTCCGACGAGACTATTTATTGTTCTGTTGGTAACAATCAATATATATATATATATATATATATATGTGTGTGTGTGTGTGTGTGTGTGTGTGTGTTGTGTGTGTGGTGTGGTGTGGTGTGGTGTGTGTGGTGTGGTGTGGTGGGTGTGGTGTGGTTGTGTGTGTGTGTGTGTGTGTGTGTGGTTTTGTGTGAGTGTGTGTGTGGTGTGGTGTGGTGTGGTGTGGGTGTGGTTTGTTGTGGTGGTGGTTGTGTGTGTGTGGTGTGTGTGTGTGTGTGGTGTTGTGTGTTGTGGTGTGTGTGGTGTGTGTGTGTGGTGTGTGTGTGTGTGTGTGTGGTGTGTGTGGTTGTGTGTGTGTGGTGTAGTGTGGTGTGTGTGTGTATGTGTGTGTGTGTAGTGAACATTATCTGCTCTACTGCGCCCACTCTTTAGTTTCTCTCGCAACTGCCTTCTCCAGGTGCATCGCTGCCTCTGTATGGGATGATACAAAACTAAACAACTGCACTGAGCACTTGTCCCACACAAAGAGCGAACTACTCCCAAAAAAGAAAAGATTCCAAAACCGAAATTGCCAACATCCCTTCCATTCCCGCCCTGCAATGGCAGTACAAGTGGGAGATACTGTTTCGGGCAGGTCTTTCCGCTCCGGGGGCGAAGAGCAGGGGGTGAAAGCGGGAGGAAGGGGGCGTGGCCTTCGACGCCGGCGGCCGGGAGCGGAGGGCAGGGAGACAATTGCCGAGCGCGATGCACCGCGCACGTGCACCTCCTCCCCAGGGCCTCCAAGACTCCCGAGTTCCGGTCGGTGTCCCCTTACGAACGCGGCGCCGGGGCGGCGGCCACTGCCCCGCCCCCCCCCCGCCGGGCTACTTGGCGCTTCTCGGCCGCTCGTTCAACGGCCGTATGTAAATTGGGGGCCAAATAAGCCCTTCACATTTTCTCGCGAAACTTACTCGCTATATCTACGTGTAAATCGTGGACCAAATAAGCCATTCATTTTTTCTCGCGAAACCTTCTTTGTGATTCCACATATAAATTTGGGATGAAACCAGCACAGGAAAGGGACTGATTGGGTAGCTAGGCCCTAGAAGAGTGTCCAAACTTCATGTTCAGCGTTGTAGAATATTGGCCGACAAAAGGGAGAATATGAAAAAGGAAAGATTAGCAGAATTCATTTAATCAACGAATGATTTAATTGAATGAAAACTAACTTTAAACAAATCTTATTTCGAAAGAAATATAACACTCCGAAGTCTGAAAAATTGGGGAGTTGCGTTTAAAAAAAATGGCTATAAATATGTTCTTCGAAAATAAAGTGTTACCTTCTACTTTTACCTGGAAAAAGATGAGGTGGTGAGTCCTCAATTTACGTATACCCTCCTCTGTGTTGATCCCCAATTTACATATGGATTTAACTCTTTATTTTCCTTTTGGTCCCCATTTACACACGTCGCGTTGAATTAGCGTTCTGAAGACGTGCGGAGCTAGTGCTATCATGCAGCCGGTTTAAGAGAAACCGGTTGATAAAATTATTGTGGTTCGCAGACCCCGTTGAAATTTAACACAATAAAGTTGGAAAAAGAAAAAAGATTGTAGCTTTGAATAACACATTCCTAATTGGAACGATCTCTCTTGATTTGATCCTCTTGCTCATTGGGAGGAGAGTGAATATTTCATGAATTTTTAATGGCACACTAAAACAAAGTTTTTATTGTAGCATACGTTCATGACGAAATTCACTTCTGCTGTGGAGTGTGTTTTCTCAAAATTTCACGAATCTTCAGTAACTTCCTCGACCTTTCAAAACTCACTGTTGGAACATAGGAGCTAAGGTCTTAATTTCTTGCTAAAAATAAAAGCTGTATATTAACCATAATTTAAATAAATTCATTTTATTTAAAAATGTAAAGTTCATTAAATGAATAAACATCTTAATACAAAGCTTTGAGTATTTTGTAAAAATTAGGTAATTTTTTTCTTATGTTTAAGTTATTTTATAGGTCATTTTCCTTTTATAAGTCGTCTTATAGATGATTTTCAAAGAATTTTCCGGCAAAAGGAACCCGAGCCCTGGATATAAAGCTCGGCCGTAGCTTGGGGTTACTTCAACCACGCCTTTCCTTGCTGTTAATGGGCGCAATGGCGTTTAATACTGTTAAGCAGCTTTTGATTACATGTTCGGTGCGTAAGCGAGCGCCGCCTGCGCTGCCCCGCCCTTCCCTCCGCCCCACGCATGCGGGCCCCCGCCCACGGCCACGCGGCCCTCTCCCTTCGCCTCGACCTCGACGAGCCCTGCGCGGCACCGCTGCCAAACCGATCAGTGGCGAAACGCGACAGAAGAGAGCTACGCCCAATTCAGCCGCTGCCTGGAGGAGCAGTCTAGCCACGAGAATGCCGCAGCAGTACCCTGACACGCGATCGTTTCTTCCCCTTCCTGGCCCTCTCCGCATAGTACACCATCATCCCGGCTTAGGCGGCTCAGGGCAACGGCTGATGTCGCGGCAGGGCCTCTGATAAGGAGGTCCTACCGTGGCAGGGCTTTTCACACCAATAGAAGAACGAAGTGGAATTCAGGCGCTGTCTGGAGGGGAATTCTAGCGGCCGGCTGCTCCCATCACTAGTTTTACGTGATTTCTTTGACCTATACCAGGCGAATGCCGAAGCAGTACCCTAACAAACGGGCCTCGGACGGCGCGCAACCTTTCCTTCCTCATCCTTCTCTTCCCTCCCCTCTCTCTCACACAAACACACACACACTACAACACATACCAGGATAGTGTTCCTACAACTCATCATCTACAAGTCATAGCTTACACCGGCTGGGGGTGCACGGAGATGCAAGCAAGTAGGTTCGCATACGATCTCACGCGCCAGCAGGGGAGAACATTGCCATCTCCCGTCTACAAGATGCCCTATACTACACTCACGGGAGTGATGAGCGAAGCAGATCACGTGCTGGGATACACTAACTCTCTCTCTCTCTCTCATTTTCCTGGTAACGAAAAAGTGGATAAAGCTTGGATATATTCACACAGTAAATTCCTTCCTCTAAACTTTGTGATAGCGGGGCGGGTAGGAGACGAGGGTTAGCTAACTTGTGAATTCCCGCTACTCATGTTCGAGGCATTGTGCACTGCTGCTGTCAATTGAATTCAATGTAGCCAAAGTTGAATCCAAAGAAAGAGACAGGTTTTCCGCGGCATCCAATATAAGCCAATTTTCAAGACTGGTGGGAACTTCATTTTTGAAGTGATATTTCTTGTTTGCTCTTCGATTCAGGAACTCAATAGGGAATGTTTATACATCGACACAAGATTATATTTTATCATGTAATTTCCCCACCGAAGTCACTATTTCGGCGAATCTTCGAAATACCAGTCTAGCCTACAAAATTTAAGAGGATTGCAAAATTTTCGTAATTTAAGGAAAACGGCCATTAAGTATAAACTGTGTATTCGTTTCTTAGGAAACCTTACAATGGAACAACATGCAAAACTTGTTGATGAATATTTGTGATATGCAGACATATTAAAACACAAGAAATGGAATAAAACTTAACGCAATAACTCTTTCTTACGAAAGTTTGAAGTATAAGATTTCACAAGAAACTAAGCAGCTCATTCGTAAGGAAAACACTTCCCACAGCTCCCGTTTGCATATTCCGTCCAAGATGGAATACAACCTGCACGGAATATTCATGTGTCCGTGCGCGTTGAAAGCGGTCGAAAAACAAAAGGAAAACGGCTGTAAGGGGACACCGCTGCAGAGGACAGGCAGTGGCCACTCCCACAGCGGCGACGAACGAACGCTGCAAGACGACGAATTTAGGGCACGGAACGCGCGCAGCTGTCCCAAATCAAATCCGCCAGACTCGTTTCACTTCTCGCTCATAAAGAAATGGAATGCGTAAAGAAATTGAAAACACCTACTCTTTGGAGGCAACATTGTTACAAAAATATTGAGAGAAAGACGTTCACGGGTGCGTCATCCAGGGAAGTATTACGACGAAAATTACGTGGACGAACGGTGGTTAACGTTCCGGAAGCAACGCGCGGTTTCTGGGTCGTAAAACAAACAATATTACTGATTGCGAGGGCGCTTGTGTTGCTGTACGAACGTCAGAATGATGGCCAGGTACAACGTACCGTTAAATTGGTACAATTGGTACACCAAGAGAAGGAATATAATTACAGTCCTTCTGAACTTGTTGACAAGTACATGCACGATCCAATTAAGCATAAAAAAGAATCACCGAATGTTCAAAAGTTCCAACCACATTCTTGCATCATAGTTTCAACAAAATCAAAATGCAACTTAATATAGAGCATTAAATGACAGCATTACATTAATCACGAAAATTGTTATTCGCTCTTACTCTAAAACTTGCATTAGCCCTGCGCTGTAATCCTTTTTCTCTTTCCAGTTATCAGTGACACTTGAGTAGATTTAGCAAGTCCGCTTACGTAACAAAATCTAGCTTCAGTAATCTGGTTGCTTCAGATTTTTCGGGTATGGTTTGCGGAAGGCACGACACTGAGAAACCGAAACAAAATATGTAGTAACCAAAACATATAGTAGATAACAAAAACAAATATAAAAAGTATGTTGTTTTTTGTTCGTATTTGTCGTTCAAAATCGTATGTTTTTACATCTTATTTTGATTGATGTTTAAAGTAATAATGATTTTCTTGATATGTTCAATGATCCACTATGTTGTACATCATGGGAAGGCAAAGAGAAACCACCCTGAGTAACTCATCTCAAGAAAACTCGGAAGGGGTCACCTAACTTCTTATATGGAAGATATGAGCAAAGATGATGTTGTACATTAGGCGTGGTGATGTAATACAGTTGGAAACGTTGGCAAGCTAGTGTATTACATTTTTTTAAACCGTCCAATCAGGGTGCGAATTGGCAGTTTCTTTACCAGAGATGGTGATTCAGAATTCCAAGAGGGGGAATCGAAGAATCAATGAGTGAACAGCATCTTCGCTTCTCAATGCCCTCTTCAGCCCGTGTGAATGCAACTGTCTGAAAAATACTCTCGAGAAAGTTTTCTTGTCCATTTTCCTTCATTTCAAAGTGTTGATACCACACACGAGGCACAAAATTGTAGATTAAAGCACAAAATTGTAGACCGTGTTCAAAGTATCACAACATCGTTGTTAAAACAACATTGGGTTCAAAAAATCAATTTTAAATTCATCGATGATATTATAAATCAGATTTTTGAAAACAGATGTTTATAAGTAAAGTAACAGTAAAAATTCAAAATAATAACTGATGACTGCACTGTCTGTTATTTGTAGGCGTACTTCCGTCATCGAGTCGACTGCAATCCTTCGTGCGAGATAACGCCGACGGGCGCCCGACCCTGGCATTTCCTTTGTATTTACCACAACTTTCTCCCCAGTTCAATTTTAATTATAATAATTATTAATTTCACTGTCAAATTAAATTTTGTTGCGCACGAATATAAAGTTAGCTGTAAACCAGCTTTTACACATCCATGATTTTGGTCAGTGATGGGAAAAGTACGTAAAAAGAGAGATAGGGATCGATTACAGTTACTTGTCAAATGTTTTACTCAATTACAATTACAGATTACACTTGCAGCATGTAACTAGTAAAATTAGAATTACGAGTACCGGTAGACATGTGTCGTTCTTTCAACCATTTCAAACGAATTATTCAAACTATTTCAAATGAATCTTCGCGCCGAGCGCTGGGATGGAGCCATGTTTATTTCCTCAATGCGTTGCGTTGCGTCAAGATGTGCATCCATCGCCTCCGAGTTGCCCACACGTTTACATTCTCGTGCCTAGAGAAACAAAAGCATCCTCGCAAACACACCGTGCGAAGTCGCGTCCATCCTCTTTGACACTACAAACCCCACTGATTGTGCTCGGTACCCCCACACACTTCATTCAGTCTTGTTTGTGAACTCAATGAATTTACAAATTCATTTAGTTCGCGAGCGAAAATAACTAAATCAATTCAAATTTTAAAAACAATTCATGGTTACATGCGATGTAACGATTACTACAAAGCAGCAAATGCTGCAGCAAAAGCTAGCAAATGCTGCTATAGATTCTTTGTGACCATACAAATCAAAGAAGAAATATGAGCGTGAGTACTCAATTTTTAAGGATTGGTGTGAAAACAAAAATAAATTATAATTAATAAATTATTTGAATAATTATTGTAATTATCGATAGTAGACCATGGAATAGTGCTCGTCTCAGAATAACCCTACTCGTATGCCATTACCGCACTAGTGTGGTAATGAAGTTCTACACTAGAGCGGTAAAGTACTTCATTACAAAACTTATTGACAGCATAATGTGTCACATTACCTAACCAAAGTGGATAAAAATATACAACTATTTCTATAAAGTTCATGATTAATTTGGGGCGCGTTCCGATACCTAAAATTTTATAACTCAAACATTGGCAAAGAGTAACTTACGAGTAAAAAGTACGTTGTACTGAAAGGAACCATTACATGCTAAACTTATTAACAAAGTAATCGCCACAAGTAATTGAATTACTTTACTCCATTACCGCCCAACGCAGGTTTTGGTCCAACGGGTGCTAAGCAAGGCGGTGCGTTCCGCTTGGCGCAGGTGGCAGCGCACGTGGGTCGCGTTCAAAAAGTCGCGCGCGGCGACAGCCACTTGTGGACGCGGCGGCGCTCACGCCGGCGCTCGCGCTTCTCACGGGAAGAGCCGGCTGGCGGCAGTCGCTTGACAGGACGCGGGCGGTTTCGTGTTGGCTGCGCACACTACTACAATCAGCAGGGGTTCGTAGTGTCGAAGAAGATGGACGCGACTTCGCACGGCGTATTCGCGAGGATCGCTGCTTTTGGTTCTCTAGGCACGTGAATGTAAACGCGTGGGCAACTCGGAGGCGATGGATGCACATCTTGATTTCCTTCGCGAAACGCAACGCGTGACGCTTTCCCTCGCTGCTCGGGCGAGAGCATCTCGAGCAGCGAACGCGCCCGCTCGCCCGCTCGCCCGCCCGTCGCTGCAGCCGCGCAACACACGAGTGTCTCGGCCGGGAGGTGGGGGCGACCTTCTCACGGCGAAACAAAAGCCCGGCGCCGGGGGCGGGGGCGGGGGGTCGCATGGCCCCGCTCCTCGGAGCGGAACGCCCGCGCCGCGGCCCCCCTCGGCCCAAGGAAACGGCGGCGCACGCTCCGCCGCGCCGCGGGGCCCCGCAGGGACTCACCTCGCTCCTCGATGACGGCGCTCGCCCCGCGCGGCCCGCAGCCTCCCAGCGCCGCCAGCAACACCAGCAGCAGCAGCAGCAGCCCCGGCGCCCCCATCACGGCACGCGCACTGCGTCAGGCACTCGAACGGCACTCGCGGCCCCCCGGCACTCGCGCCATGCACTTCCCCAGCACCGCACTCCACTGCCCGCACCACACGACACGACACGAGACGAGACGCGCAGGCCGGACGCCGCTGCCGCACTCGCGAGCGCGCCTGGAGGAGAGGCCGAGCCGTGGCCGTCGACGCGCTGCTCTCCGCTCCGCTCCGCTCCGCTCGCTCCGCTCCGCTCCGTCGCCGCGCCTGCAGTGCGCCTCCGCCGCGCGCCTCCGCGCCCCTAGTGTCTCCGCGGGCCGTAAGATGGTGCGCGCGGCGCGCCAAGACGCCCGCCCCGCTCCCCGCCAGACGGCCGCTCTCCGTTCCAGCACGCTAGCCGTTCGGCAGGCGGACAGCCGCGGAACGCAAATTCACACTATCTCCTGCCACTGATAAGTGTTTTCGGGCGCGTCAGGTGTAGCACCAGCTCGTTATAGTGCATGTGGTTGTCGACGGAAGTGCTGGAGACCTGGATGGCGAGATCCGGGTCCGACCTATCACTCGGTTAGCGCTGGGATCTCACACCAGCGTGGCACCGCCCAGCGACCCAAGATAATCCCTACGTTCCCGACTGCTCTCACGGCATGGGCGATGACCCATTCATTGGGGTACTGCTCCGGCAATCGCCTGTTGATCGGAGAAACCACTAAAAACTACCTATCAGAACAGCCGCCCTTACAAAAGGTTGACGACTAATAGCTCCTACGCTGTTAAAATTATATTTAAACGTTGCTTTGAAAACTAAAAGAAAAATGTTGCAATCTATTTATAAAAATCACGATACAATGCTCAGTCCTCCTAACGGTCGAGACGACAAAGGTATCTCCGCTGAGGTGGAACACTAGAATGTTTTTGCATACAATGCGAAAACTTCATGAAGAGACCTTGAATTGGAGACTTCAATACATTGTAATAAAATAGAGTATATTTGTAGGAGGAGAAGCCAAGACTATATGTGACCGACCAGAATGTTACTTACCTTGTCACTCAAATACCAGCAAATGGTGATAGTACCCAAGATATTCTTAGTAGAATATCAAAGGAAAACGAGCTATATGACAATTATTGCATCCCTTAATATGGAATCAAACTCTGAGGAAGAGTGTTAAGAACTTGTTGTAGAGAGTATTTATTGCCACATGTGGGTCTGAAGTTTGGGAAATGTCAAACTACAATGAGAATAAATTTACAATGGAAATGGACTATAGGCGAACGACTGTGAATTGACATTGTTGGACAAAATAAAAAACGATGAAATTAAAGGAAAAGCACGAACGAATCTCAATATTATCCATAGTATTGAAATTAAATGACTCAAGTGGAATGGCCACACAATGGGTGACGGACGATGGCTTCTAAAGCTCTGGGATTGGCAGCCAGCAACACACCGAAGACGAAAGAGACGTAAAAGTTAGGGATGGGCGATTTAACGCGATTAATACAACAAACGATTATTTTACACGATTAATCGAAAAAACGATATCGATTATTTTTACACTGAATAATGTACACTCAATTCATTTTTTTGATTTTAGCTCGATTATTTAATTTTAAATGTTAATTTTCAAAATGAGCAAAAGATGAAAGTATATATCTACTTTTGAACTTCTGAAGTACATTATTTGTTACAATCATATTAAGGCTTTTAAAAAAATATACAATACAAATGTAAACTAATTCATTATATATCACTGTTTTGTTAAAATAAACATTATTTTTCGTTATGTTGATCGCATTATCGTGCTAGGTTTTCTTAAAATATCTTTCTTAAAATAACTAGGCATTATTTAAAACATGTGAAAAATAAATTGAATTTATAAGATTAATCTATAATATTGCTAATTCGGAACGATTAATCAATGTATATTAATATAAAGAAAATAATCGATGCATATTAATCGAACATTATTTAATAACCGCCCATCCCGACTAAAAGTATCATGAAGAATGGAGTGGAGAGGGCAGTGGCTAGAAGAGAATGAAGTGCAGAAGACCGCAGTGGGAGACAAATGGAACTGGGATGCGAGAGACGCCTGATGGTATTATATCCTTCTCAGCGCTTCCCCAACACGTTCCAGCGCCAGAATTCCTTTTGGTTGCTCCTTGATTCAGAACAATCGATCGACAGTGAAATGTCTTGTTGGCTCCTCCGACTGTTCGTCTGTCAGTCTGTTTGTTCGTCTTTCCGTCAGTGGTCGACGCTAGTTCCTAAACCGTTCAGCCGATTTTATGCAAAGTTGATATTCCTAGGCCGATTTAAAGGAACTCGTGTTCTGTGAATTTGTAACGGATATTTTAATTTTAGGCGGTACTTTACATGTCTCAAAAACAATTTCAGTTTATTTTTAAATGGCTCCAATTTTGTTTGTCAACTTTGTTCTCGGATAGCTTAAAGGACGCTTAAGAGAAAGGTGTAGGTTTCATTGTCGTTTAAATCCCTGTTCCAAATATTGCACAAATTCATAATTATTTTAGGCGTCTTCCTAGCACTACAATATTGAAAATATAGATTTTCTTTCCTGAAAGAAATGTGTTCTTTAAACACAGATCGTGAAATAAGGGTCAGGTAAAATGTTTCGAAAATTTGAATAGTTTTCGCTTAATTTTGCGTGCAATAAAATCAAAATTTAAACAATTGTTTTCTCAAAAAGGGCAAGTTTTTGCTTTAAATTTTCTCCTCGTGTGTTTTAAAGGACGGTAAAAACATTGTTTTCATATAATTTCCGACGAACTATGTGTTTTCAAAAATTGAAAAAAAGGTAACGTTCCAGAATTACAAAATTGAAGATAGAGATTTTTATCTTAAACAAAATTTGTTTTAAAAACTTAGCTCTTTAAAAAATGTCATGCACAATTGTTTGAAGTGACGAGTTGTTTTTGCTCTATTTCTGCTTCAAGTTAAATTACGTACAAGTAAGTACGTACAAGTAACGTAAATTACGTACAAGTAAAAAAACAATTTCTCAAAAACCACTCAAAAATTTTTCACTGTTAGAACAAGACTTAAAGGTGCCATTTTCTTGGAACTGTCTTAATTTTTTATCTTTTATAGCACCACTCCTTTATAAATCAATTAGTTCTTTCGTAATTTTCGGATTCTGGGGCAATTTTGTAAACGTTTCATTGATTATTACTTTTTCGTATACGTACGTACATACATAGTACCGTGTAGAGTAAGTTACGTAGGGCTGCGGAAAATTGATGAAAATTGCTGGCAAGAGGATGCGGCAAGACATTATGCTAGCCTAGACCAAAGAAATTAGAAAAGTAACTAGTACGAGAAAGTCTATGCCATTCTGCAGCACCACTAGTGTCTCTTGCCCTTCGGGTTTTGTGAGATCAACTCCCTGGTTGGTCTTAATACTAGTTCATTTAAGTATAGCCGACATCAGGGGAGGGGGCATAAGCATTATTAATCTCAAGTTTGTTTGTTTTTTAATTACGTGTGAAAAATGTTACATGAAAACCTAGAATAGGTATCAGGTGAGTTTCAGACTTTGATTTTATGTGCTTCCTTTGTGATAGCTTTTACTTTGTTGTATTTTATCTAATTTACCTGCAGTTACTATTACTTTCTCGCATACTACATAAGTAGTATAGAGAAAGTTGTGTAACGCAGAAAAACTGCGATTTTCCGGCAGAAAAATTCGAACCGTAGATACCTGATACAGAAAAGAGGATTATTCTTGTTCTAATATATGTAGCATATTGCTTTCTCCAATACGTTAGGTATTCAGAATCCTCGTTTTGAGTGTCCTTAACACCGATTTTTTTTTACACCAAAACATCTATTCGTTTATCTGTGAATAACGCTAGCGGCTAAACGGTTAGCAAGATTTTCATCAAAATTGATATTTCCTCCTCGCCTCTTCCTCGACCGCGGTTCCTTAAATTTTACAAGGATTTTAATTTTTGAAAGTACTTTACATCAAGTCGCAAGGACATTTTCATATTTTTCTCAAAAATAGCTTATATTTTTTTATTAAACTTTGCCCTCGGAGAGCTTAAGGAACCTTAAACTAGTGATACTACAGAATGGCACAAACTTTCCAGTATTAGTTTTCTATTTCTTTTGGTCTCCGCTAGGTATTCGGACTTGCCATATACTCTTGCCAGTTGCCATCTATCGCCTCCCAAAGTACATTTTTTTGACATTTTCTTAATTTTTCGGTATACTAATAGTAGAACGTAAATATTTTTAAATAATATTAAAAAAACAGTAAAACCTCGTACTAAATGACAATTTTCTTTGAAAAAATTGGAGCAGCTTTTAAGAAAATGGCGTTTAAGCGCAACTGTAAATTCGAAATTTGAAGCTCTTTTTCATAGAAAACTTCTGAGTTTTCAAAAAACTGTATTAGAAGTCATTTAATGCACATTAACTCATAAATACAAGTGTTTATAAATCCCTGAAAATGTGCATATTAACGCAAAATCTTGGCAAAAAGTTACATTCCAGTCATTTTTGAAAAAACAAATAATACCCCGAAATGAACTTTACGTTACATTAAAGAGTGCAATTAGCACTATCTTTTTGAAATTCTGAAGAAAAAATTTGGAGCCATTTTTGAGGAAATCGCGTTTGAGCGTTTCTGAAAATGCGGAATTTTGAGCTGTTTTTCACAGAAAACGGTTGAGTTTTTCGAGAAACTTTATGAAACGTTATTTTAAGCACATATACTCATAAATATAATAATGTGAACAAATTGCCGCTAATGTAAATATTAACGACGTGAGTGACAAGTCAAAAAAATTAAATGTTTGTAATTTTTGAAGGAAAAAAAGAAGAAGAAGAAAAAAGCAATAAGGTGTTTGTTATCATATAGAGTGCATTTAGTACTATCTCTATGAAAAGTTCAAAGAAAATATTTGGAGCAGTTTTTGAAAAATGTTGCTTTTGAAATTTTTTAAAATTGCAAATATTGCACGCAATATTGCGCGGAACTACTTTAAAAAATTACATGATATTAATGAAAGAACTAATTATGTACTACAAATTCTCTAACCTCAATATTGTAGTTGTTGGAAGACACGGGAAAAAATTCAAAATTTTGCAATTTTGGAAAATTTAGAATTATGAACTGTGAAAATCGGAATTATGCCACCTTTATAAGTGTATTTTACTCTATTCTTACCAGAAATTTAAGACAAAAAA